GCAACAGATTTGCTATTGTGGTGCGAGCCCCGGCACCTTTACAGGTAGGGCGCCCCCAACCCGCACCTCTGCCCGGGCGCGTTCGGGGCGGGGGGGAATTCTGGGAGTTGAAGTCCACTCATCTTAAAGTGGCCAAGTTTGCACAACACTGGCATAGTGCTAGGAGAAAGTTCGTGCGGTGGTGGCAGGGGGCAGCCTTAACATGGGGAAAGGACGTGGTTCAATTCTCCCCATCGTGGCTAAAAGTTCTCCAGGAGAACGACCGGGGAGATCTGTCCCTTGAAAGATGCAGCGGTCTGGAGCAGAAAGTCATGGTTCAGTTGGACTCCAGATTTGTCTTTGTTAAGGCAGGTTCCTGTGCTCTGGCCGCACAGGCGTTCAAAAGAAAACACATCCTCCCCACAGTTTAGCATTGGCAGAAGTCAATCAGTGATCCCTGTTTTAAATCTCTGCCTGTCTTGGAGAGGAAAAGACAAAAATCCACCACGCAGATCTGTATCTCGTGCCAGTCGCAGCCAGTTCCCTTCTAACTAGAATGCATGCAAAGGAAACTCCGTTCCCCTCCACCCACCCGCCCCCTTATGAATTGGCAAACAATAAATAGGATAAATAGGATAAATTAGAACATTTAAATAGATAATTCCTAAGCTTATGGCAGCAGTGGCTCTTCTGGCTCGCTCAGATTTACAAAGAAAATTTGCCAGAGGAAAAAGGTGGACTATGATGTAGTGGTCAGGTAAAAACTCAACTTTCTCACCCACAAGAGGGGCTTAAATGCTGGTCCTGTGCCTGTACCTCAAGCTGATGTACTGAAGTTTAACCCAGCCAATTGTTTGTCACTGTGGTTGCAAGAAGGCTTCAACCTGCTTCCTAAAAAGAGGGGGCAGCTGCACGCTCAAAGTGCAGGAGTTAGGTTTGCCACAGAGTTGTGCAAAAGTGTTGCTCCCCAACTTGGTGCCCTGGATGTGTTGGACAACAGCTGCCATCAGCCCCAGCTGGAAAGGATGGGAACTGTGATAGCTGGACAGAATGAGCGTTAGAGTGTGGTGTATCCTGGGGACAGCAGGTTGGGGACAGCTGAGCAATGCCATGGACCCATCAACGTGTCCTTTTTCATGAATGTCTGGAAAGGGGTCCTTCAGGCTGAGGTTCTTGGGCTTCTCCTGGGGATCAACCAAGAGATATTGACTATAGAGACCGAGCTGTCCTGAAGATCCTTTCCCAAGCCATCTGCCAGGCAGATCCAGAGCTTCTTTGCTCATGTGGCACCTCAAGAACACTGGTTGAGTCTTGAGACTGTGCCTCAGTCCTTGGGTCTCTGCAGGCTTTCCATGAATGGTGCTCAGCGTTTCCTTAATTGGCTTGGTGCTCTTCAGCTGTGGTGGACTTCCGTAATTCACCTTCAGTGAAGTCCAACCCATCTGAAAATCCAAGCCACTTGCAGGAAGTGGCCATTAGCTACCCATGTGAGAAAGCACTTTGTACAACTGTGGGGAGGGAGGATTTTTGAACCCCTGGCTTTCCACCCAAAGCCATACACTCCTTATTTTAAGGATTGGACACCCACTGGCTGGGCTCCTCTGGCCTGCTTGCCCAGGGTTAAGTGACCCCTAGTTTATTCAGTTAATCCAATTTTCTGATTTGACCAGCACATCACCCCATAAATGAACCATGGGTGGTGAGTTTGCACAAACATGCTGGACTAAAATGAGCTAGTTTGGGGCTCACCAAAACAGGCTACTTTACACAGCCACTTGTTTGAGAAAATCCAGAACCAGAGACCGATCCTTTGCTTTTCCTATTCCATATTTTGTGCAGGGATCAAAGAATCACAAAATAATACACAATGACCTGTGCTCAGAATGAGTGAGGAGCTGCTGTCCGGCTCCTCTAAATTGTTTCTCTGATCTGCTAGGTCTGTTTAAAACCAGGCCTATTTCTAATGCCCATGTGGACTAGAAGTCCAAACCGGATAGGAGGTGGGTCCAGCTGGACACCCAGACAGCATTCAGGAGGGTAGCTGCTCCTAGCTGAATCCAAGGTTGATCTTACCTAGACTGAGAAGCTAAGCAAGTTTGGACCTGATTAGTATTGGATAAGAGACCACAAGGAAATCTCCGGGCTGTAGACTTGACAAGTCAAAACCAAACCACTCCCATACGGTCACCCAGAAAACCACAGGGACATGTCCATGACCCTGAGGAGTCAGGCTTGCTCTGAGTGAGACTTCATTTGGGTTGCTCTGCTGGCTTGTTCTTGTGGGGCTTTGAAAAACCTAAGCTGGATCAGGTCAGATTCATGTGGATGGGAGACCACCAGAAGAAAGCGGCGGCCAACCACTTCCACACGGCAGCCAAGGAAACTGCCTGGATGTGTCCTTGAGGACATCAGGAGTCAAGCTTGACCCAAAGGAGACTTTTTACTTGTCTTACTTTAGATCGAAGATAGTATTCTTGCTTCACTGTCAGGGTTTGAGTCCTCAAGGGCTGACAAGTCTTCCCTGTGTATGATAGCCCACCTTTTTCCTCTCTGGCATCCCCTAGATCAGTGTTTCTCAATCTTAGCAACTTTAAGATACGTGGACTTCAACTCCCAGAATTCCCTAGCCAGCAAAGCTGGCTGGGGAATCCTGGGTGTTGGAGTCCACACATCTTAAAGTTGCTAAGGTTGAGAAACATCACCCTAGATAGATAAGGACTAAAATGCCCAGAATGCCCATTTCACAGAGCTGTTGGCAGGGGTGTCTTGGGGAGGGCGGTCAAAAAAGTCAAGATGGCAGGTGCCATCAAAGCCCACCCCCTTTAAAAGACAAGTTGCCTGTGCAGTGCCCATAAAAAGGAGTGGGGCTCTGATTGTGCTTCCCATCTGGACTTTTTTGACCCCTTCCCCAGCACATCCCTGGCCATTGGCTTGGAGCTCTGGGACCTCTAAAGGACATCATGCCGTCTTAGGGCCTCCTAAGCATTATAACCATGGTTGTGTCCACCAGAAAAGCCACTATTTTTATACATACGCACACACACACACACACACACACACACACACACACTTTCTTCTCAGACCCTTCTTCCACAAGCCTTCCCAGTTCTTACAGGGGAGGTAATGCTGTGTTTCTCAACCGCAGCAACCTTAAGATGCGTGGACTTCAATTCCCAGAATTCCCCAGCCAGCCAAACCTGGCGGGGGAATTTGGGAGGTGGAGACCCCCCCCCTCTAAATTGTGTCTGTTTTTGTTCCACTCCGTGCGACCCCCCC